GCCTGGGCGGGGGGCCCGGCCGGGGCTGACGCAGGAGTCCCCGCGCACTCGCGAGCCCGCACACTTACTTTCCAGGTTAGGCGGCGGCCGTCGTCGCTCCCGGGATCAGGGACATCCGCGCCGCCGTGGGGTCGCCGCTGCGGCAGCAGAGAAAATCAAAAAAGTGCGGCGGTCGCGCGGCTGCCCGCCCCTCCGCCCGCCCGCCCCCTGCCCCGGGGAGCGGCTCCCACCACCCCCGGCGGCGGCGGCCAACTTGCACCTCTACCCCGTGCCCATGGTGCCGCCTCCGCGGCAGGCGTCGACACGGACTCAGACCCGGAGCCCCCTCTACTGCCCACAGGCCGCCGCCGTCGCCCTCTCAGCCGCCAGCCCGCCTGCCCGTCCAGCCCCAGGCTCCCGGGAACGTCAGCACGCCGCCGTCTCCGGACAAGCTTCCCGCCAGCCCCATTGGTCGCCAGGAGAAAGCTGGCCCTCCCCATTGGCCCGGCCCTCACATTGAACGGGCCAATGGGAACTGCGGTTTCAGGTCGCCATAGAGACCGATGCTGTTAAGCGTGAGAAGGCCTGGACAAGGTGGGGAGTGAAGATGAAGGTGTGTCTGCCCTCCAGCGCTGGAGGAGGTGGGAGAAAGGACTACTAGGGGATCCCTGAGCGCTGGCTCTGAAATCTGGGGCAGGTTTGTTTGCCTTACTGTCAACCCAACTGTGCATGGTCTGTCCCTGGCTTCAAAGGCAGGAACAGTCGAACCCCCAGATTTATCCTTGACAGTAAGAGCCCAAGAGTGGGCGTTTCAGTTTTCCAGCGTCTGGGGTGCCCGTGAGCCTTTGACCTTTGACCTTTGACTCCGGTGCCCCTTCTGCTTCTCCAGGTGAGTTTGCACCTATCCTTTTAATCGCTTTCACCTCCTGTATCACATGGACACTTGAGTTCTCCTATGCTTATTTTTCTCACCACTCTTCCTCTGATCTTGTTTCAGATTTTGGGGTCTTCAACCCATTTTGCCTTCCCAAAGAAGACTCAGTAAGGGTTTTCTTTGCATGATGAGCTTTGTTTTGTTTTTGTCTTTTTGAGACACTTTCACTGTGCAATTCAGGCTGACCTTGAACTCACTTTGTAGCCCAGGCTGGCCTCAAACTCGCTGCCTCCTGAGTGCTGGGATTACAGGTATGCACCACCACGCCCAGCCATGGGTGATGTTTTTGTAAGGGAGCAGGTTTATGGATTGTATGATCATTGCCAAAGATCAACACATGATGTAATGTGTTCCCTGCTTCCCCAGACAAAGCTTTAAGCCCCCTACATGGACACATATCTATTAAACACCCCTGTGTATGCTTTCTGCACTGTGAGCTTGGCGGTGCATGCTCTTTCCTTAAGTTACAGGATGGAAAATGATAAAGCTGCCAGAGTCCAGTCTTCATAGCTTCTGATGATGTCACTGGAGAAAAAGGGAAATAGGGTTTTGCTATTTTTGTGCTAAACTTTTCAGTTGAAAGAAATAGAAAACCATATTGTATGATAAAGCTGATAGGATGGTGGAATTTATAAATATTTTGTTGAGGGAAACAATATTTGCAAGCTACATATGTTTAATTACTGTTCTGAATTTTAGGTTAGATGATACACTTTACTACTGGTTTTTATATTACTGTGACTGAGAATCACAAAGAGATAACCTTAGATAAATGTTAATATGCTAGTTTAAGAAAACAATTTAAATTACTTGACAATCACTTTGTAGGATTGGGCTATGGAGCAAAACAGGTGAACATTTGAACTCCCTAAATATTTTTAGAATTAGGAAGGGCGCAGCAAGGGTTAAGAAATGCTGTCTCATGACTTACCTTAATGGTAATAAGGTGCTTTTGACTGATTTGGGCTTTTTTGATATGTGTTTATAGGTGAATAGAAAAGGTGAAATGTAAATTTTTATAGATAAAACATTTTAATGTTGTATCAAGATACCACTGATTTTAATTTTTAAATTTTTCAATAAAATCTCATGAATGGAAGATTTATCTACTTAAAAGGAAAAGAAAATGGGTATTTCCTCTTTTCTTGTCATTGACTACCATAGAAAGAAGAAAACAGCTAATTTTCTTGTTGTTTGAGTAATCTTTTTGTATTTTTCAGAACGCATTTGGCTAGAATTTTGAGATTGGGTATTTCATGTTTGTAATGGTTAAAGTATTACTAAAATCTCTCATGAATAATGTTTCCTAAAATAAGTTGCTACTCAACATTAATTTTTTTCTTGTTATACAAAGCTGAAAGCTTTCTTTTGGACTTGCTATTACTTTGCTAAGCATGGCTAGATAAGGCTAAGAAACCACTCACTCCCACTAAAAGTTGGTGCTACCCAGACTTGCCTGGGTCTTCACTGATTCTCTAAATTCCCTTTCTCATGAGGAGGGTGATAGAAATATCCAGGCACATTCTCCCGAATCGGTCTCATTTCTTCTCTCCTCAAGCCCTCACTGTACTTGGGCTTCCTGCAGTTTTTCATATAATCTTGCCTCATTCTTGACCAAGGGGATCCAGCATGAGGTGCCTCAATTTAGCTTTCCTAAATCTGAGTCTCAGTTTTCCAACATCATCATCATCTTCAGCCTTGACTGAGAGGATGAGGGTGTCTCTGGCCTCAAGCACCCTATCTATTTGTCCACCTTTCTCTTTTACTTTCAGACCTCACTTGTGCTTCTAAACCTGTGCCATACTCTCTCAAACAGGGTTTTGCTCTACTAATTATAGTTTTTCTGGGATTGTTTTACACCCTTTCCTCCAAAGATTTTTCCTGAGCCTTCCAAATAACTAGCCTTTTATAAACCACTTCCTCTCACCCTACCTTCATGTCCTTGTTTCCTTTCACAGTGAAATACTATGAAAGGGATTTCTTGAGGTGTCTACTTTTTCACCCTCGGTGTTGTGGCCCTTGAATACAACCGAAATGATTCCCTAGTGTAGTGGTTATCATGTTTGCCTAACAACTGCAGTGATTCTAAAGATGGTACTCTTTCTCCTCAAAATTTCAACTCGTTTTGCCAATTTAGTTAACTCAAACAAAAATATCCTTTGCTTACAAGTGGCAATGCCCCAATTCCAGATTGCCAGTGAAGAGAAAGAAAACAATGTCACCCAGCCCAAGGAGCCATAGAAATGCAAGTGACATTTTTAAACCGGCTACCCATACCATGTGGTGGGTTTAAGTGCTGAGAGGAGTGGTTCGGAGAGGGACCTCAGGCTGATTGCAGCACCTGGGATAAGGTTAAAAGGATTGAAGAAGTTGGGTGACCCAACTCAGGAACAAAACAGCGAAAAATGCAAGGTTCTTTTCACCTACCAGGCAGAAATAAGTCAACCTGAACCTTTCAAAGATTATGAAAACTTTGTAACTTTCCAACGTTTGTTATTTTCATATTAGTGCATCACCATTAGTGATATATTCCTTGGGAAAAGTGTACCAGGTGCAGAGGCAATAAAGCAGCGATGGCAAACCTTTTAGAGTTTTCAATGATACAAACAGCTCACTGTGGCATGCGTGCCAGAGGCTCACCGCCACTGGAATAGAGGGAAGCAGGAAAACTCTTTCTTCTCATCTTTGGGTGTCTATGGAGGAGGTTCAAGCAGTGAAGACAAGACCTCCAAAAAACACACTGGTTAGAGGAATGGTGAAACAGAGGCAGGTGGCAAATGAGGGAAAGAGAGCAGTGGAGTAAGCTGGGCCTGGAGGAGGGTTACTAGGGCTCAACAGTAATAGTCCACTCAGGTTTGCAGATTGCCTGGACCCTGAGCTAGGCCCCATTCTCTGAATATGCAACCCCTTCTCTTAAAGACCTGGTCAATTGTTACCTGGAAGGTTTTTCTGAAGGTTTCCTGGCCCTGACTACTCTGAAAGGCTGACTTCTTTCTGCTATAGTATATTATTGAGGCACTTGATACTCTGTCTCCTGATGTAATTATCCATGTGGACTTCCTCCTCTAGAGGATAAGATCCACGCCAAGGCCAGGACGGTGTCCCCGCAGTGCCTTACAATACCTCCCACAGTAAGAAGAGCCAGTATTCGTTGCTTTTTGTTGTTGTTGTTGTTCTTGGAAACATTTGACTTCCAACAGTGGAAACATTGGAAACAGTAATGTTGGGAGGTAATTTGAAAAAAGATGAGATTAAACAGTCAATGTAGAGAAATGAGGTAAAGTATGGCAGAGTACAGTAGAGATTTTGCCACACTGCCTCCAGCAAGAGAAGGAAGGCTCAATCTGATTGCTATCAGATTAGGAGAGGGGATCTGTGTGAGAAGACCTGGGACTGTGTACTTTGGCACGTTCACAGTGAAGACTGCAGAACTCTGTGTATTAAGCAAAGTAATTGAAACTCATTATGAAGCATCTGTTTTGCTCTGTCTTAGAACATGTAGGATCATGACAATTTAACATCATTAAATCAGAAAGCCATCAAACATTTAGTATTTGTAATAGACGCTTGGTGTGTATAAAGGACATTTTTCCTAGAGTCTGTATAAACAGCCCTTAAAGAAGGCAGCCCTGTCTACTTCACAATTGTGTTTCCTGGGCACAGCCTCAACCCTGTGGGGACCTGACTCACAGGTAGCCGACCCATTAGTTAGCTGTTAGCCCATAATCTGTAATGGTGACCATCAGATTCTTCCAGGGACTTGAATTGAAAGCACAAGTGAACTACCTTGTCCGGTTGTTTTCTGGGTTTCTACTGAAGAAGGGAAACCACAATTTGCTGCCTCAAAATATACTTGTATGTAAGGATTAGTTTGCCTGACAGCAATTGAGAAAGCACAAATAGAGGGAAGGATCTTTTACTTCCCCTCCTTTTTGCCTAAGGAAAGCATGGCGTACATTTCCCTTTTAAAATTACAATAGCCAGCTAAGTGTGGTGGTGCACACCTATAATCCCAGCACTCTGGAAGACTGAAGCAGCAGGACCACAAGTTTGCACCCAACCTGGACAGTTCAGCAAGACCCTGTCTGAAAAATGTGATAAATAAATAGGATAACTGAAACTGTAGAAAGGAAGACTACGGATATAACACGTTTTCACTGGTAAATGTGTCTCCCTCTCTAGTATCAGGAAAAGAACTGCATACTCCATACACTTATCACCCGAGAGGGCTCTTATGAGCATAACTAACTGTCTTAGTTGCTTTTCTCATTGCTGGAACAAAATATTCGACACTCAAAGTTAAAGAGGGAAAGATTTATTTAGCTCACAGTTTATAGAGATTTCAGTCCATAATAAACTGGCTCAACTTGGCAGAGTGGCACATGGCAGAGGACCAACAGCTCACGGTAGAAGACAGCAAAAGCAACAGGAGCAAAAAGGGGAGAGCAAGCCTCTTTCATCCCTTTATTGTCGGCAGGCTACCGTAGCACTTACGTGGCCAGTCCCAGCGCTAGACAGTGAACCAATCACAAATTCTAGATTCAGCCCTGTTATGGGTTGTGTCTGGGTGTCCCCCCAAGGCCTCATGCAGTTATGGGGTGGGCTTCTAGAGTTTATGATTAATTCATGGGTGTGACTGCTACACCTGCCCAGGGGTGGGTAGTTTGCATACAATGTAAGGGAGTGAAAGAGGCCACTTGCTGCTACTCCTCCACCTGTTCTCTTGTTACTTTTGCTGTTTTCTGCTGCCATGAACTGTTGCCCTCTGCTATGTGCCACTTTTTCTTGGAGCCAGCTGATTATAGACTGAAACTTCCAAAAACTATGAGCTAAATAAACCTTTTCTTCCTTAATTCTGGGCATCAGGTATTTTGTCTCAGCAAGGAGAGAAAAGTTACTAAGACAAACCCCTTCTGGAAAGCCTGCTCCCCATGATTGCATGAGGCTTTGGGGGG